TTCAGATCTCCTTTCATTCTTTTCCTTTTTTTCAAATTTAGTTTCCTTCTTTTCCTTTTGATCTAGTTTCATTCGTTTCCTTTTTCCACTGATCTAGTTTCATTTGTTTTTTCTTCCGATCTTGTTTCATTCTTTTCCTTTCTTCTGACCTTGTTTACCACTCATGTCCTACCATTATGTGGGAGATATATATGGGAGGTATTTCTGCCGCACCCTGTATAATAGTGATAACATATCATCCGTTTACGTTATAATATTAATGTTTTACCAGAAAGAATATAAAACAAGTGTAAGTTAAATATATTTAGGAAAATTGTAATCATTTCAAATGGAACATCCACTACTAAGACCTGTCATATTATACACACAGAAAAATCATAAACATACAACTGAATACACACACACATATATATATATAGATATATAGATATATATATATAGATATAGATATATATAGATATATATATATATAGATATATATATATATATATATATATATATATGTATATATATATATATATATATATATATATATATATAATATAGATATATATATATAGAGATATATATATATATATATATATATATATATATATATATATATATAGATAGATAGATAGATGATATATAGATATATATATATATATATATATATGAATAGATATATATATATAGATATAGATATATATAGAATATATCAAGTATTATAAACGTTATTTTTTAGTTTCAAACCCTTATTCGTGTGGTGCTTTCTTTATTTAATAACAGTATATTTATTTTCATCCACTGCCTAAATGTTCTCAGCAGAAAAATATGCGCTCTTCGGCAGATTTCGAACCTTGTTCTTCTAGAAAAACTGTCATTAGATTTGACGTCCTTTGACCTCTCTATTACGGATTGCCTTAAGACCAAGCGAAGCCCGAATAGTTCTAAAAAATAACTTTCAAGTAATAAAATATCGGATTAATAAATGAAAAATCTATACCTAAAATATCTCCGTATACTGCGTGTAACAGCAAAATTGTCAAAATCGTGTAACAGCAAAATTGTTCAATTGTTAGATTAAGTTCTGAATCGTTGTTATGTCTTAGGAAAGATGAAAGATATCTTACAGGAATTATCCGAGGTTTTTATAAAACTATTGGACTCTACTTTGAGCAAGAAGAATATATAATTATTCTCTAAGCTAAGCAGAAAAATCGTGCTGAAATCGATCGAAAACGAAAATGTCATGTTCATTATTAATTAATCATAGCTGAGGATAAGAAGTTCATGAAGTACAGGAATAAAGATCATATATATATATATATATATATATATATATATATATATATATATATTATTATTATTATTATTATAGGATCATTTTTCTAAAATGATCTTCGGCCTCTCTAACCTTCTAACGTTCTGTCCTGGAGTAACAATATGCCACACACGTTTCACGTAAGATTTCATTTTCAAGTCTGCTCCTTGGACTGTCATAGATGAAACTCCTCTCTCACGGGCCAAACGTTTTATGGATTGAGTTGATTTTTCTAATTGATCTCTTTAGCTATAAACTGAAATGATGATCCCTCTTGCTGTTGTTATGACTGATTTAGTTTTCCTCTCTACTGCTCCCTCTTTTTAAAACATATTCACAGATCTCATGATGGTTCTTGAATGGACTTTAAAGATGGAAGCCAGAGTATGAACTTTGGTACCATTACCGATGGCCTGAATCATCTTTTTTCTCTCACCATTGCTCATTTGGGAAGACGGTGGGACTGACACAAAACAATTTTAACCTGTTCCATTTTTATCTGAATAACTCAAAGTGTTTTTCCATGATTCTTACGAAAAATGCTGTCCAAATTCATGTAACAGCAAAATTGTCCAATTGTTAGATTAATCTTTGATCCGTTGTAATTTAGAAGTGATTAAATATATCTTACCAGAATTTTCCGATATTTTTATAACACTATTAGACTCTACTTTGAGCAATAAGAATGTACAACTACTTTCCAAGCTTAATAGAAGAATCGTGAGGAAATCGATCATAAACGAAAACGTCGTGAATAAAACAATAAAGTTGAGGACAACGGTCCGAACAATATAAATAATGTAAATACTTTCAGATGTATAGACAGAATATATCTTACACATTTATAAATCTACCATTCCTCCACGCATTGTATATTGCCGCCACATCTGGTCTGGTGCTTCTGATTTATATTTAAAGATTCTCCAAGGAAGAATCCGCAATGGTATCGCTCCTTACCTGGCATCTCGGCCTCAGTCACTTTCCCACCGCCAGAACGTAGATTCCCTGAGCATTTTCTAGAAATGTTTTCATGGTAATTGTTTCTGGTGACCTTTCCTCTGTGATACCTCGACTTTATATGTTTAATCGTATTACTGGATTGGCAGATAGGTCTCATCCCTTTACGGTTGAAATTACTAGATGTAACAATAACTTATCTGCTAAGAATTATTTCGCACTTCTCTCTTGTGGAACACTCTTCCGGCTTCGTGCTTTCCAGTCAACTTTGACCTTCAACATTTTAAACACAATGTCAATCGTTACCTTCTGTCTCCTTAAACCCTATTCTTTTATTGGATTCTCTCCTTTACAAATTTTTTTTCATCATTTTACTGTTGAAAATGCTTGATGTAACCGTAAGTTCTATTCTAATAGTTCCTTCTGTCGTACTTCTCGCTTTTGGTCCAGTTTCTTGTTTCCTGTCAACTACGATCTTAAATTTTTTTTAATGCAATATCAATCGTCATCATCCGTTCTTCCTCCACAATCAAGTTTTCTCAATTTTTTGTCTGAGCTTCGACATTCTTATCTAAAGCTTGACATATTCTTCCAGCAATAACCGACAACACATCGAATATTCGGCGTCTTTTCCCTGTTTGCGTTAGCAACGCCAATTATTTTCTTGCTGGTCCCTTTTAATTTTTCTTATATATTTGGTAATTATTAAAGTCTCTTATTTTAATGCTATTATATTTCCTAGGTTTTCAATTTCAATTTTCACTGTTCTGAGATTTCTGCTCAAATTTTCCACAATTTCCAGCAGGTTTCAATAAATTCAGAATATTTTGTTTCTCTTTTGAGATTATATACTTCTTAGAACCTATAAATTCTTTATATATTAAGAATTAGAAGTAAACACGCACATACTTAGACACACACACACACATATATATATATATATATATATATATATAGGTAAGGGAAACTCAGATGAATTCCACCACGGAATATGTGATGGAGTGGCGCTATATCGAGTCTAATTCCGGGTTTCAATTCTCGGTAGCGGATGCACACTGCTGATGAGTCCCAAATATAGTTTCTGCATTCTGTTGAATTTTCTTCTAGACTCGATGAATTACTTAATTATAGTGTATACTAGCAGTAGAGCCCGGCGTTGCCCGGGGATATAACAGTAAGAGATAGATCAAGTATCGACCATCATAAAGACTGAAAAATAAAATTGACAAAGATTATTGTTTAAGGTTGACGGACACGCATGTCTTAATTAGTTATTTTTTTTTTTACGAATTGGTCAAACCCGAACTCAAACAAAAACATTGTTTTCAATCGTTATGAGTCTCCCAATTGAATAGAATTTTATTATAAATAATTGTCTTATAAATGGAATTTTTTAAAGCATTCTGAATGTTAAAATAAACAAAAAAAGTGTGCAAGAGAGAATAAACACTACCTGCCAAAAAAAAAAGTGAAGTTTTTTTTATCGGCTGAAAAATATAGGAAATCCGATATTAGTTGTCCCCCTTCCATTTTCGATGTCTCTTAATCGTGTTTTCAAATTGATTTTGTGCAAAAACAATTATATTTTCAAATTTTTGGCGCTATTAGAACCACCACAAGGTAATTTTTATGTAGTCCTGTGAAGTTTTGTTGAAATCGGTTGAAAAATGTAGGGAAATGCCGCAGGTATGCAGAAAATATAAAAAACACGTTGGGTGCATAATCCGGAGTTCATTATTTTTGTTTTTATTTTTAAGAAGACAATGCTCCATACAGAAGTAGAGCTTTATTATATATTTTTGTTTAAAATATTCCTTCGCTTCATAAGAGTTCTCATGTTTCCAGAGCAGGCCAGAAACCATCAAAAGTAATTATTAAAATTAAGTTGAATTGAGGTGTTTAGTCCCGTTTCATCTTCAAGCGAAATTTTAGGAATAAGCTATCTCTTGGTTTACGTGTGTTTTTAGGCATGCTCCGTTATAACATTCGTTATTGTGGGAAAAATTTGCTCCGTCTATGTTGAACAAACATAAATGTGCCTGAGCAAGCATCTGCAAGAGGGATTGGCTAGCTGTTCTAGCAATTGGAAATACTCATAAATGAGTGGCCAGTCATTATATATCTATTTGCTTGAAAATTTACTTTCGAGTGTTCAAGCTATAGAAGGATTGTTAATGGTCGTGAATGAAGTGTTTTTTTTTTGTGTATCAGTATTATGTGTTTGTATTTCCGTGATTCTGTGAATGCAGATGTGAGTGTGCGTGGACTTGTGTAATAGTGTATGTTCCACAAGTTTGCATATGTTTGTTTGTGTGTGTGTGTGTGTGTGTGTGTGTGTGTGTGTGTGTGTGTGTGTGTGTGTGTGCTTTACACTGCATCCCCGCTCTTTCAGGGTTCGAGATCATCCGCATGTGTTAGTCTCCCAATGTTCGTATCTTAATTCTTATCAGCAGAACTGTAATCGCGAGACGATCAGCGAAAACTAAAGCAATGAGTGTGCGCAAAAGAAAAATATTTAGACTACTTTCACTTTCGCTTTCAATTTATCGGTCTGTCTGAGCCGGAAGATGCGCTGATGGAGTCGAGTGGATTTCTCGCTGAATATGGATCAGGGGAAAAATCAGAAAGGATCACTGTCGTTTGGAAGCAGTATTTGTCCAGTCGAGCGAAGGGCAATAACAGGAACATTCGAGAATCGTCTTTCGTCTTTTTATCAACTCGAAACAACTTTGGCGAGAAAATGTTATGCAATGTATTTGATTCTTTCTTTTCTTTTATTTTCTTTCTTCTTTATGAACTTTTGATGATATTTTTTATAGCGTTTCTTTCATTTAATCTTTTATGCCTTAACTTCCTTCGTTTGCTTCCTTCGTTTTTCATCTCAACATCTCTTTCTTTCTTCTACGTCGCATTTCCCTTTCTTTACTACTTATTTCCGTCCTGGGTATGACAATAAACTACATCTGACAGCAAGGCCTCCGATCAGGAGGTTTTGAGGAGTGTGGAACCACCTCTTAATTGCTGGTGTTCCCCGGTCCATCCTGAGCCGGGGTGGCAGCACCTGTTAGAGTCCCAGATATAGGTAAATAGCCAACCCTAAAAGAGGTCGCAACACATTTTTAGAAAAAAAAATATTACCAGCAATAAGAAACATGTCGGCATTAATTAACCCATTGAGGTGTTGATATGCCGTAAAACAAAACAAACCAGACCAATCTTCTTCATTGCAATTTTTTTCTTCTTCCTCTTATTTATGAAACTTTCTCCAACTTTCATGAAGGTTCTCCACTGCCTTAACCGGGTATTGAACTCACACTCTTTGGGTCCTGCCACTGGATCTAACCAACGCCTTTATCCACTGTGCCTTGTGTCCTTGAGAACTTGGAGAGGGGGAATTAACAGGAGATAACTGATAACTGACATCCATTAAACATGGTACGTGGAACTAGAACAGTCTACCCCAGTGAGCGAAATAAAGGGTTCAGTTCGACATTCCAACCACCTGAAGATACTGAAGAAGGCCGGAGCGTACAACGGCCGAAACGTTGTAATAAATATGGCGACAAAGATGAGGACAATAGTCCGAAGAATGTAAATAGTGTTATAAAATATTGTTTGTTTCACGGCATATCAACTCCTTATCAGTCATTTAATTCCAAAATTTAATTTTCTTGAGATCTTTGAAGTAATATTTTATATACAGTGAAACCCGGATATAAGAGAGTTGTCGGGACCGGAGAAGTCTCTTATATCCGGGTTTCTCTTATATCCGGGTTTGGTCGATTTTATATACATTAACACAGGCTCTAATTTGGGACCAGAGAAAATCTCTCTTATATCCGGGTTTTCTCTTATATCGGGTTTGGTCGATTTATATACATTAACTGGGCTCTAATTTGGGACCAGAGAAAATCTCTCTTATATCGGGTTTGGTCTATTTATATACATTAATACAGGCTCTAATTTGGGACCAGAGAAAATCTCTTATATCCGGCTTTCTCTTATATCCGGGTCTCTTATATCCGGGTTACACTGTATATGTTATTCTGTATTTTTTTTCTTTTTTAATTGAGTACATGATAGATAATACTCAGCTTTTGTACATATTCATATTTGTGTGGACATAATTACTCGAGGCAGTGATACGTGTGTTTTATGTTGTTGAAGTTATATTTTGGAATGCAGGTTCATTCATTTAAGAAATTGGAAGATATTATATAGATTAATATCATGAAAGTGTCCTTTCACGTTGGATGGTTGGTTGATTTGGTTTAGCTGCATACCAAACTCTACACGCCATTTAATGTCGGAATCTAAATATTTTGAACGCAATGACATATCTTCAAATACAGACAAAATATATTTATGGTCATTCTACTATAAGCATGTGTTTTTATATTTTCCTAGTGTTTTGCTTTTGTTTGCAGGTTCCCTATTTGCCCATAACTGGGACCCTAATAGGTGCTACCACCCCTAATCAGGGTGACGCTGGAAACAGCAGCAATTCAAAGGTGGTTCCACGTTTCTAAAACCTCCTGATCAGAGCCTTTGCTGCCGGATATAGTTTATCGTTATACCCAGGACTTAACTTATAAAATAAGCTTACCTGTTCAAAGAAACATTTTAAATCAATAGTCTGAGCGTAAAAATCCGAATTATAGGTGTACCCGTTATCAATTATTATATTATCATATCTGGGATCCCTGAAAAACTTATTTTATGCATCTTAATATACCCAAATCATCCCTTAAACGTTACGTTCTCTTGGGTTATAATCAGTTTTCGACATTATAAAAGTAATTTTTGTCTCTATAATAATATTTGTCCCTATAACAGTATTTGTCCCCATAATAATATTTGTCCCTATAATAATATTTTTGGTGTCACAGTAATATTTAGTATGAAACGTTTTTTGCTGTCTTGAAATACATCAAAGCATGAAATCAAAGCTTAGAATTGTGAGCAAAAATATCAATTAATTGATATTTTAGATATCAACTGAGATTTTTTACATTTGGAAGAGAAAATAGTATCGAACTGTTGTGTGATATTACCCCTCCCCACATGTAGTGACAATGAATGCTGGACAATTTCTACGTAAATGGTGAGACTAGAAGCAAATAAAACGATTAATTTGTATTTTAGCATCCGTGCTCAGTTCGGATTAAAAAGAAATTCCAGAATATTTGCATTTAGGTGTAAATGTGCATGCTTCATTCGAATCTGGCTTGATAAATTTGATAAAATCTACCGTTTTGGAGTTATCGACAGTAAAAGCTAAGATTCATTCGCGTCGTTGGCAGCAGCCATTACTGGTGTTGTTTGCATACATTCTCTATGGAAAGCTAAATGCGGAAGAATATAGTTTACAGGCTTTTTTTACTGACCTTACTTGTCTCAACTAGTCTAAATTACTGCACAAGAGATCTATTAACGTACACACGCTCAATTGCGTGCGCAATAATCAAGACAAGAATATTACACTCGATAGCTAATCCGCAGCGAATGTATGCAAACAACGCCAGTAATGGCTGCCGCGACGCAAATGAATCCGAACTTTTACTGTCGATAAATCCAAAACGTTAGATTTTATCAAATTTATCACGCCAGATTCGAATGAAGCATATACAGTTACAAATAAATGTAAGTATTCTGGAATTATTCAATGCGAACTGATCGTGGGCGCTAAACTGCAAAATAGCCAGTGAAATGTGGTTCTCCAGAAAGATACTGAGGATACCCTAAATCGAACATGCGAGCAACGACGAAGTTTTAGAGGAAATAGAAACAAAAAGGAAACTTATAATTAACATCAGGAAGTGAGAGTTTAAATTTCTACGACACATAATGAGGAAAGAGGACTTGAAAAATCTAATACACACAGGACAGATTAAGCGTAAGAGAGACAGAGGAATACAATGCATAACCTACATAGTGAGCGTGTGTAAAAAGATGATGAAACATGGTTTGGGAGAAATAACAAAAAGACATTTATTAAGAGCTATATAGATAGATAGATAGATATTATAAATTAATTGATTTAAAATATGTTTTTTTCGATACACAGTTTTAACCATGTTTCAAAAATGGAAGCTAAAAGCTTCGAATTTAATTTTGTAATTAAATTAAAGACATTAGTTCCATTTCATCCTCAAGCGAATTTTTGGAGTAACTTATTTTTTAAAATTACTGGGTTTTAAAGGCACTGCAAAATTCATAATTCGTTTCCAAGGATACAGAGAAATCATTCATCCAGACAAAAGGGGTGGTTGTGTTCATTATCGCTGTATTTTTGATGTATCAGTTATTAGTTACGTTTGGTAGGGGTAGGGATGTATTTTTTCAATGAACTAATGTCTTTAATTTATATATCTTACTATTCTTTTCTTTATATATATATATATATATATATATATATATATATATATATATATATATATAATGAACATATATTACTAATTAACAACAACAACAATAATAATAATAATAATAAATAATATATATCGTGCTATATTCAAGTTATATCTCAATTCCTGGTACATACAAACTTATAAATTTCTTTTCTTTTTTCATTATTTATTCAGTGTTTTGAAGTGGGCCAGAGAACAGTAGGGAAAGTACCGCAAACACTCTATACTCATGGCCTTGGAAAAGGCATGAATCCGTCTCTTCCTGACATGTCCAAACAAGTCGTTAATGCAATCTTCACACACAATCAAGTCTTATATCCCGAAAACAGATAGAAGTTCGATTTTCGGAAAATATGTCTATTGTTCAGTTATATACCTATAGAAATAAATTTGAATATTAAAAGTACTCTATTATTATGGCCTTTATCATACTAAAATAATCTCATTAAATAACTCTTATGATATCAAGCTTCAATAAGTTCCCTAACTAAATCGGCCCTGTGCCAGACCTTGCTAAGCTTAATAATGTCTCTGTTTCCGATCAGAATATAACCTACTAAAAATTAAGCTAAGATTACTAAATATTTAGTATTCACCATAGGGCGCTCTAATATTGCGCTCTTGTGTCAGACTTAGTAAGCATCTAACATTCATTGGGAACCAATAGTTACTTTTTTTTTTATCAGCGCCAATGTAAACGCCATCATTTCGAATTCGGATTATTCTCAAGGCATGCAGATTCATTTCATTTAAAAGATTGATGCTACACAATCTTCTCATTCTTTATGATTTATTCGAACTCTTGCCCTCACATTGGTTGTCATCGTTACACTCTTTCGGCCGTGCTTGGATTTATTATTGTCGAACAATAAGAAGACGAGGTTAATTCTGAAGAAATGGCTAAAGAGATCTTTCAGCCCCACCACCAGACCAAAAGTGCACAGCGGAAAGACTAGGTTATCAGGGTTCGAAACCGTTTTGTCGATTTCATTTTCTGATACCTCGTTCTTTTGGTCACTTCAAAGAGCACACTGTCAGGAGTGCGGCCCAGCAAGGATTATAAATAGTTGCTGGATAACCAGAGGCTTATCGACAGAACCTATTGACGAACAGACTTATTTTAAGACTCATTGTTCGATGACGAAGGCGAGCGATCGAACTAATCAAGACAACAAGTAAACACATAAAGGCAAACAAACTTAGTCGGAAGATTGAGTGGGGTAGTACCAGAGGAGAAGGAGAACGAAGAGAGGAGATATGACGGGTGAGGCCGACGGCGTTCGGAAAATGTGAATGGACTGACAATTAAGATGAAAATCAACATGGCGCTTAAGTTACCAAACAGAGCATAATGGCCGACGACACAGGTCATCCATCATGACTCCGAAAGAATGTAAACATATCAACGCTGTAGACTAACAGACTTCTCTTTACAATTCTGCACTCCTGTCTATAGTACCAATTCCGTCCATCATTTCTGGGTTCTAATAACCCTTTTTTTTTCTTTAATCACTTTTCCTCTCCATTTTTGTTTTCTTAATTTCTTTTTTTCTCTCGCCAATAAAACTTTCCTCATTTATCTCATATTTCTTATATTCGTCTTTCTTTGCACATTTTCTTTCTTTCTTTTTCTTACTTTCTTTCTTTCTTTCTTTTTCTTACTTTCTTTCTTTCTTTCTTTTTCTTACTTTCTTTCTTTTTCTTACTTTCTTTCTTTCTTTCTTTCTTTTTCTTACTTTCTTTCTTTCTTTTTCTTTCTTTCTTTCTTTTTCTTTCTTTCTTTTTCTTACGTTCTTTCTTTCTTTCTTTTTCTTTCTTTCTTTTTTCTTCTTTACTTTCTTTCTTTTTTTCTTTTCTTTCTTTTTTTTGCACTTTCTTTCTTCTTTCTTTTTCTTTCTTTCTTTCTTTTCTTGCTTTTCTTTCTTTCTTTTTTTTCTTACTTTCTTTCTTTTCTTACTTTCTTGCTTTTTTTCTTTCTTTCTTTTCTTTTTCTTTCTTTCTTTCTACTTTCTTTCTTTCCTTATTTTGTTCATGTTACTTATTTCTTCAATCTTTCTTTTCTTTTCTTTCTCTTTCCTTCATTAATCCTTTTATTCTTTTGTTTCTTATACTCGCCCGTCTGTGTTTTCTTCTTTCCTCTCTCTTTCTTTCTTTCTTTCTTTCTTTCTGTAATGAGACTGCTCTCAATTTCTTTCATCCCAATCCGTTTTTTTTTTTTTTTTTTTTTTTCATCATGGCGTCACTCTATCTTTCTCTTTTTCAAAAATTTTGGATCAGTGATTTTCTTTTATTTCCCATTTTTTGGTAACTTTTTCAAATAAGAAATTTTCTCGAATTCATAGCACGTTGTAATTCTCATCTCATTTCCTTCTCCTTTTGTTCCTTGACTAGCAAGATTGTCTGCTTGACCATGATGACTGAATAATGCGTTTGATACTCACTAGGTGCCATATAAAAGGTTTGATACAAAATAACCCAAAAAGGACTGACAGGTTGTAAGATCAACGAACCTAAAATTTTCTTTCTTTCTTTCTTTCTTTCTTTCTTTTTCTTTCTACACTTCAGGCCATCGATTTTCTCTTGTTTCTCCCTTTTTTCTTTTATTCTTTATTTCGATCTGCACTTCAGATCATCTATTTCCATTTGTCTATCATTTCTTTCTTTCTTTCTTTCTTGCTTTTTGCTCTTCCGGTTAACAATTTTCATTTGCCATCCTTCTTTTCCTTCTTCCTTCCTTTCTTCCTTTCTTTCTTTTCTTTTCTTTTTTTTCTTCAGATTTTCTTTTCATTTGTCTGTCCTTCTTTTTTCCCTTTCTTTCTTTCAATCTTTTTTCTTTTTTTCTTTCTTTTTCTTTCTTCTTTTTTGCTCTTCCTTATTTTCATTTGTCCGTCCTTCTTTTCTTTCCTTCCTTCCTTTCTTTCTTTCTGTCTTTCTTTCTTTCATTCTTTCTTTCTTTCTTTCTTTCTTTCTTTCTTTCTTTCTTTTTGCTCTTCCGGTCAACTATTTTCATTTGTCTGTCCTTCTTTCTTTCCTTCCTTTCTTTCTGTCTTTCTTCCTTTCTTTCTTTCTTGCTTTTTGCTCTTCCGGTCAACTATTTTCATTTGTCTGTCCTTCTTTCCTCCATTTCTTTCTTTCTTTCTTTCTTTCTTTCTTTCTTTCTTTCTTTCTACACTTCCAGTCATGCATTTATCATTTGTTTATCCCTTCTTTCTTTCTTTCTTTCTTTCTTTCTTTCTTTTCTTTCTTTCTTTCTACACTTTCGTTTATTCCGTCCTTTTCTTTGATTCTTACATTTCTATTCTTTCTTTCTTTCTTTCTTTTTTTTCATTTCGGCTCTCGGCCATATCACTTGATATTTCCGATTTCGTACAATTAAGCAACATCGAGCTTGGTCAGTACGAGATGAGTGACCGCTTGAGATTTCCAAGTGCTGTAAACTTGGGTGTGCAGCTGATATAATGGGTAAAGGCTAGAGATTGAAAATTCAAGTGCCGAGTTCCAATTCCAGTCGCGTTCGTTGTATTCCTTTTGGCGCTAATATTTTCTGGAAAGGTATGAACCCACCTCTTCTTCCCACATCTATAGGTTAAATAGTTTGACGTGTATCAGTAAATCATTATTATTTTTTTTTAAATTCTTCCAATCTAAAAATATTTTCTGGCTTTAATCAACCTACATAAGGTTCATTGTTGTTTCATACGTACAGACGATAATGTGTATGACCAATTCATGTAAATACAGTAGTCTATACTGCAGTTGGAGATTCGTCTCCAGCTGCGCTGGTCAAACTTTTTGTCTCCGGACAGAGAGGATACCCAGACGAGGTTATGTCGAAGGGCCGAGTTTTTTTCTCGGGAAACAGCTACCCGACCCCGTTTTATACGGAGTTTAAGAGGAATTTTTGGCCCAGCCTACGGGTTCGGATAACCCACATTAAATTCGGCCTTGTGCCGCATCTGACTGCGTGGGGCGGTTGGTAGATATCCTGCAGTTGGAGATTCGTCTACAGCTGTGCTGGTCAAACTCTCTGCCTCCGGGCAGAGAGGATCCCCAGACGTTGCTGGGTCGAAGAGCAGAGTCTCGGCCCGGGAAACAGCTACCCGACGCCGTTTTATACGGTGTATACGGAGAATTTTTGGCCGAGCCCACGGGTTCGAATACCCCACATTAAATTCGGGCTTGTGCCATATCTGACCACGTTAGGTGGTTGGTAGCTGCCCTGCAGTTGGAGATTCATTGTGGAATTCACTCGACTTACTTCTGGCAGCTGACTGCTTCTTCTACGCGCCGCTAGCGAATCTTATATGTGTTGTTCTTGTCCTAAGTATTATCATTCATTACTAACCTTTGTTTGATTATTCTAATCCATTAACATTCCCTAGGTTACAACATTGATAAACTGTGAAAAATCAAATCAATCAATAAATTTCCTTTTCTTTCCTTCGGTTTGTTTTCTTTGCATTTGCTCTTTCCTTTTTTGTATTAGTTTATCCCTTTCCATTTTTTATTTCCTCGTATTTTGTCGTCTCTTCTCTTCTATTACCTCTTTTTCTTCCATTATTTTTTCTCTTTGTTATTCATTCGTTCGTTTCTCTACCTGTATGATACAATTATTTACTTCCGTTTTAAGAGTGTCTGATCGATTTTATAAGGTCAAACTGGGAGCTGATCTAAAAAAAAATTACATAAAATCTGTTGTTAACTGGGGCAAGTAATGACTCGTGTATTTTAACACCTCCAAAAGAAGTGACTCATTATGCCTTCTCAGACTAACATTTTCGCTGACATAATGTCGAAAGAGTACACTGAATCATTTGTATGTCTACTGCTTGGAATGTTTGTGATTCTCTAAGGAATCTATCATTCGAACATGCTTTGAGTATTGCTATAACATCTGCTTAGGTGTCCTGCTATATATTTAGAGATTCCTGATAAAATCCACAGAAGAATCTGCAATGTTATTGGTCTTAAGCTGGCATCTAGACTTCAATCACTTTCCCACCGCCGTAACGTAGCTTACCTGAGCCTTTTCTATAAATACTTTTATGATAATTGTTCTGATGAACTTTCCGTTATGTTACCTAGATTTGACGTATTTATGCACAATGCTAGACTATTAGCTCGGTCTCATCATTTTAAAGTTGAAATAGTTATATGTAACCGTAAGTTCTATGCAAAGAGCTTCTTCTCTCGCACTTCTCGGATATCTTTTCGGGCTTCTTGCTCCCCAGTCAAGGTTGATATTCAACAATTTAAATGCAATGTCAATCGTTATCTTCTATCTCTCTAATTCTTTTTCTTTCATTGTTCTCTCTCCTTTTTCTTCTCCTGTTCTCACTAACCCATTGCATCTCAGTGGCTTTACTACCTTGCTTGGGGTGAAATGATTAATAAAATTTCTCTTACGTTCTTTTTTCTTCTTCGTTAATTCTTTTCTTTTAAAGTCATATCTTTGTCACTGTTGTATTTCCTTTCTTACTGTGTTCTTTCTTATTTTCCACTAGTTTCTATCTTGTTGTTGTTGTTGTTGTTGTTTAGTTCTAAATTCCTTGAAGATTACCCGGATGGACAGACACCCGAAAATGTCCGGAGTCCATAACAGCCAAAATGATTGCATAATAGCAGCAAAGATGAGGATATTAGTCAAATTGGAAATAATATAAATTCCTCATTCCAGAGATTAGTCGTCAGTTGTCTGATTTTTTTTCTTGAGGATTAATATTATGAATTATTGACTAGACTAACTTTCATTATTTTTTTCCTTTCTATATATCATAGTTTCCCGGTTAATCTTACTTCAGCGTTATCAAGTGCTCCCTAATCGATGTCTCTTTGAAATATCAGCCTTGAACTCGAAGAAGGTCATTCCTTTAACCTTAATTATGCTACTGGCATTGACACGGGAGTTTAAAACGTTTTAAATCCTGTTTTGAACCCTAAACAAAGGTCTTTTTTTTTTTTTACTAAGACACAATTTGGCCAAATATCTTTCAATATCAGCTAGACCATATCTATCATTATCTTTCCTCTTCATTTTTAGTTTCTTTCGGTTTTTTCCGCTTAAATCCTTCCATAATTTTCTTTTTGTCCAGTTAGTTTCCTTTTTTTTTGTTAATCTTCAACATCTCTTACTTGTTTACTGTTTCCACTTTCTTTCCTTCTTCTATAATTCATTTCGTTTTTAAGAACTTTTTCTCTCCATTTTCACTTTCTTCCTTTCTTTTCTTCTTTCCTTGCCAGTGAAACATTCCTTATTTTTTCTTTCTTTCTTATATATTTCATTTCGTTTTTAATCATTTTTCTTGTCCATTTTTCCATTCTTCAATTCTT